TACTCACGTAGAAAACTTGTCTTGCAAGTTAAGACATGTCGCTTATAAAGTCAACACATGTTTGAGGTCCTATAGAATGTCATCATATAACTCCTAGATAGATAGTATATATAGAGGCATGAATGAAGCCTTCTTCACTCTTGTCAATTCTTTTCTTACTTTAGTCTAGATTCAAGAGACTTTGCTTTTTTTAACTTTTGGCAATAGCTATTTTAGTTTCTTTTTAATATATATATATATATATATATATATATATATATATATTTCTTTTATTTTTTTTTATACTTTTATAAAAAAAGTCTCACTTGATTATTTACTTTCATTGGATTCTTGTTTTTGATAAATTAACAAGAGTGTATTTATAATATCAAAGCTTTGTCTTTTTTTGATTAAAAATAGATTATCTCTTTGTCTTAATGAGACATAAGCATATTAGAAGTTGCAGATTACTTTCTTCTAAATTGATATTATCTTTAATATTTTTTTATTCTCAAGTATTTTCTTTTATTTATCTTCTTTTTATTAGACATCTTTTCTTTTATAAGTGTTATCATGGTAGAACTTCTTTAAATAACAAGTGCAATGGTATAAATATAAAAGTAATTAAGGGAATTAATGCTTACAAAGCATCAACTTAATTTACTACTATAAGGAGCAATAAGAATAACAAGGAGCAAAGATATAGAGATGAGTAGAGCTACTTCAACATCTGCACCAAATCATGTCCTTTCTCCTATAAGGGAACAACCTTCTAGTGTTAAAGAACTAAAGATTGCAGTATCTAAAAAGTTTAATGGCACAAGATCTAAGTTTTGAAGATTTATTAATCAAATATAATATGTGATTAAACTTCAAATCTAAAGCTATCATATTTCAAGATTGTAAGTTAGATTCATTCATACACTTTTTTCTAGTTTAGTATTATCATGGTTTTTATCTTTTTTTGAACAACAAGATTTAATATTAGACAATCTAAAGGTTTTTTTTGACAAAGTTTTGACCCATGTATGAAAAACATGATGTAATTTATATTGCAACTAATAAGATATGTATTTTGCAATAAAATAATCAATCAGTAATATTATATGCTTTATAATTTTGACAACTTACAACTAATATCAAGTGGAATGATGCTACACTTATTAGCCAATTTTTCTATGGATTATAATATGAGATAAAAATATTGATGCTCAACTTAACTGAACTTCAAACATTGAATCAAGCAATTGACTTTGTTGTGAAGTATGACAGTCATCTTTTTGAATTTTAATTTGAGAGTCGTACAAATGTGCCTCAATGTTATTATAATTTAATAGCAATATCAACATCTCTTCAACACATAGATTTAAAAATAAAGAATATATAAATTGATTTGATGTATTTTAAATCTCTTATTGAACAAGAAATAACTCGTTATCATTAGAAAGAATTGTACTTGTATTATAGAGAATCTAAGCATATAACTCAATATTATTCAAATAAGTAATACAACCACAAAATGAAGGGTATGGCTATTGAAGAAGATAGTATATTAGAAAACAAGTTTGTCTAGCTATAATAGGGATCGCTTGGTTGGAACCTTGTATAATACTTAGTGAAGGTATTTCAAGGTGGATAATATACATAGAAGCAAGAGTGAAGCCTTCTTCATTCTTGTCAACTCTTTTCTTGTTTTAGTCTAGATCCAAGAGTCTTTAATATTTTTGACTTTTGGTAGTAACTATTCCAGTTTCTTTTTAATATACATGATTCTTTACTTCTATTTTTTCATATTTCTATGAAAAAAGTCTCACTTGATTATTTGCTTTCATCAAGTTCTTGTTCTTGACAATAAGTTGGAAACGTGTTAGAGGACCTATAGAATATTGCTACATAGCTCTTAATTAGATAATATATATGGATGCAAGAGTGAAGCCTTCTTTATTCTTCTTAATGCCTTTCTTGTTCTTAATTTAGTTTTAAGAGTCTATACTCTTTTTCTCTTTAATAATAGCCATTTTAGTTTTAATAGTACAATATTTTTGGAGTAAATAATTCTTCTTCTTGAGTTATATAAGAATATTTTGAAATTCTCCTTATTTTCATTTATGTCCTTGACATTAGCTTATATAATAAGCTACCAATACATATAATATGTGGCTAATTTATTGGCCAAGTATTCAACATATCAATCATCTTTAGATACATATGAAGGTGAAATCATATCTATAAAGCTTCTACAAAGCTTTTATATAAGATATTATCAAACTTATTTTCTTTCAATTATTTCTACCTATTCATATTATCTAAGTGAATATTAATATAAATAAATGTGTTTGTGATAGGAATCCACTCTTGAATTTTGTATGTTATCAAGTCATCAAGACTGGTAAGCATCGAAGACATGGAATAAGGTGCTAATGACATAGAGAGCCTTCCTATCAAAGTTAACATTTGTCCCTCCAACATACTACAAAGAACTTCTAAATTATAGTATGTGATTTTGTTCTTTGGTTGTCACTATTGGAATTGGCTTCTCAAAAACCTACCTTGTACAACTTCATCGACAAGGAGTACAAACATACAAAGATATATAGACAAATAATAGATTATTTTAATATTAAAATGTACAAGAACATTTTGGCTTTGTAGCTAATGAGAAGATTGCTTGAGGTGCCATTGTAGATACTTCATATCAATCATAGGAATTATTAATTTATAAGATAAGATCATTTATACACACAAGCAAATGAATGGAGATATATTATACTAATTATAATAATATATTATTCTTTGTGTGTAAAATTACTCCAATATTTCAACTAACTGTGAATCATGTCTGGTCTTAGATATCTTTGTAATATAAGACATATAAGGTTAATACCATATTGTCTACTTTAATACCAATATTGAAGGAAGCCCAAAATGTAAAAAAAATAATATAATGCCCAAATGGCAAATATGATATTTAGAGTATCAAGTATTTGTTGAAGAGTGCAAGTGGTAGAAGTTAAGCAAGGACCTAAAAATTATGCATCCTATTCTTTTATTGGCACATTGATTGCCTTATTTGAGATCCTAGCCATTATAGGTGGAATAGATTGATTGTTGATAATAATTGTATATTCAATGAAAACATCACTACTTCATTCATGGATTACTTGGCCAAACTTCAATGAATGTTACTACAAAAGCAACACCATGTCCTACTCATAATCACATGGAAGTAGGCCAAAATTCTATCCACCATATATAAATTATAATGGTCCAACATATGGGACAAGGAAAGAACAAAGAAAGAAGCTAATCTTTTGTAGCCATTATGGCACAAGACAGTTGTGATAAATGCTTGAAGATGGCTAGTCATTGTTTAGGTTGATTAATAATGCCATGTTTGCATAAATGGCTCTTACAAAATAGCATTCTACCAGTTTTGAGAATGCTTATCTGTATATAAAAAATAAAAAAAAATAAAAAATAAAAAACTAATCATATGATGCACATATCATACAATCATCAATTACCCTATGAACTACCTAGTCTCATGTGGCGCCCAAAATGCTCTAGAAGCTCATGGAGCTCCATGGCGCCATTGAAGCAAATCTTTATTGCCCAACTAGAAATAAAGTGTTTTTCTGTATCAAAGGCTTTGACAATTTTTGCAAAGTCACAATTTTGCAAAGTCGGTGGTTGCTACCCAAGGAGTCCATCCCTTGGCTTTTATGGATGGAACAAAACGATGCAACATTCAACGGCATTTATTGGACTCCATTCTTGTGAAAATGTCTGGGGACAACACTCAACCCAGATGGAAGTTAGTAAGTCCTAGCCCTAGTGTAAGAAGGTCAATTTAGGTTGTATCATTCTGCACTGTCCGGTCTTGGCTGGGGCACTTGAACTTTATCTTTCTACTGCAATAGAGTTATCTCTATTTGTTTCAAAAATAAATAAATAAATAAATAAATAATGTTGGACTGACATTTGGATCGACTGCGTTGAAAAAAACTTCAACTGAAACCATGCAACAATTAATGAGAAATGAACCCCCATATCTATCTATCTATCTATCTATACATATATATATATATATATATATATGCAAGCATGCACACAAGAGCCAAGGATCTAAGAGGAGAAAAAGAAATGACTCAGCCTGAAGAATCAAGCTGATAAGTGTGGTGGATAACTGGAGTGACGTGGAACCCTTGACGACAAGCTGCTGCAATTGCTGCTCACTGACGACGCGCATTGATTGATTTTGCCAGGATCCGTCGACGAGAAAAATGCTTGAACTGATCGTGTTTCGAGGTTTCGATGTAAGATAATAAATGTGTCAACTAGCTGTGGAAATGGAGTCAACTTGCTTCCTGGTGGCAGTTGTCAACTGGACGCTGCACAGAGGCCAAATGGGTAGCTTTTAAATCGGTCAGCAGTTCGTTGTACCGAAGTCAAGCAATGTTCCTTTCGGGTGAATCTAAGCTGGCGTCTTTGCGGCGGCAGACCACATGTTCTGGCCGCCGCTAGCACGGTGAGCAGCGTCATTAGTCAGTTTTACTAGGGTGGACTACGCCATTCGACGGTGTAAGGTGCTTCATGTGTGCAGCTGCATCGTATCATGACGCCAGGTTTCTATAAGTAGAGGTTCAACAATACGGATTTTGACAGATTCCAGTCACCATGAAAGCTACGAAAGAGGCTTTGTGGGCACAGGGAGCGAGGGCAATGAGTAGAATAAGCTGGGTTTACATCTGGTCACGACGATTGATTCGCGACTAAGACTCATGGTGGGGTGATTGAGGAGTTGAATCATGTGGTCATGAATTTCTTTGGAAAGAACTTATCCCCACCAGAGTGTTTTTATATTTGTTCTTACCTTCTTCCGAGAATCCTAAGATATTGTTAAAAGTAAACTATACAAAATTGTCAACTTAAGTGGTCTATTCGACTTTTCGTCAAGGAACGAAGGCCTCTGATTCGTTGTGATCAAGTGTGATTGTGATGACTAAGATTCTTCACACTTGATCACTCGAACTTTCTCTCTAGAGCTCCCTATTTCTACAATTTGCAGAGGTGTTCGAATCATTGAGGACATAGTCAGGTTTCCTTCCTTCGAGTGGCTTGAGCTTGAGCTCAATGTTGGACCTTGTTGAGATTTGAGATCTGTAAGCTTGCAAAAACCAAGTTGATTATAGTTTCACACTCCTAGTCTGGCGCAAAGACTTACTGAATCGGAGTGTATCTTTCTCGTTGAGTCAGTTTCGAATCCACCGAATCCTGTTGTGCTCATGTACCGCAACTGGTGTCACAAGATTCAGCAACTGTTCGGCAGGACTGGTGCACTCCTCCCCCCTTCCTCCAGAGACTTTTTTTGTTTTTTTATTTTCTCCCTCCTCACCATGTTGAATTCATCAAGTCCAAGTGAGATTGTTGCTCTAGGAGATGCCCTCAGAGATGACGGTGAAATATTAAAATCTCCACTGTGGGCAAGTAGGGTTTAGTGAACTATATGTCCTAACGTTTCTTGGAAGGCAAAGTGATATGTTCTTCTAGCACATTTTATGACAACCTCCTAGAAAAATCAAACTAAAATTCCGTATTTAGTCGATGAGTAGATTAGACAATCGCAATAGAGATCCTCCGCCTTAGTGTCTAGTTCACTAGATTGCTCGACATTATGGACCCTTCCGCGAATCATAGTGAATTTAATAACTCTGGAACTGTTGTAGTTTCAAGTGGAAAACCCAGTTTGGGACCACCCTATTTAGATGGATATCGGTGTATCATTCTCTTCTCTATGTGTTCGCAAAATTTCGTAAAGTTGCAATGGGTTGCTAGAACACTCTCTCTTACTGAGTTGCAAGAAGTGAAAGTCAAGAGCATTCCGGAGAATAGAAGATAATATGGAGTATTTGAAAAAAAAATTGTAGCCAACCTAAGGACAGTAGGACCCCGCAATTGATCATCAACTATTGCAGCTAGTGTTCAACAAAAGGAACACTAGACATCTGCGATGTACTCATCCTTGCAGCTGCACATTTTGCACAATGACTGTCAAAGTTTGTGAAGCGAATTTCCACAGACAGTCCGCTCACGTTCTCTGTATGAAGCAAAAGCTTTTAGCATGTAGGGAATGGGTAGCAGGGTTATATGAGAGGATGAAAAGTCCTTACAAATGCTGGGGCCTGCTTTGTTTCCACTGCTACCTTTTCTCTTCGAAGTAGATGTCTGTATTGCAAATAAGGAAAATCGTTGCAAATATTTTGTCACAATTTGACACTTCTTTGCTATATTTTATCTCTCTGCTTCGCTGCGAGTTGTAGGATTCGAGGAAGAGTAAGATTTGATGACGATAATCAAGCCACACTCGGTGCTAGATGCTGCTAAGGTAGCGTCCTGTTTGCGTGAGACTTTCCGAACCGGACGTACCAGACCGTCGAATTGGAGACTGGAGCAACTCCATGCAATCGTAAAACTCATCGAGGAGAACGAAGATGAAATTTGCCGGGCCCTTTTTGCCGATTTACACAAGCCAAGGCACGAAGCCTTAACGATGGAGGTTTGTTATGCTTTCTCCCCAACTCTTCGTCGCCATATCATTAGTTTTATCTACACATGAACCATCATGTTGCATAGAATCAACCTCATGATCCGTATGCAACAGAAACCCGAGTGAAATAATTTTGTTGGAAAATATAGAGCCTTGTCGTCACAGCATCTGCCAAGCATGCGATCAAGAATCTGAACAAGTGGAGAGCTCCTGTGAAGGTATTCAGCTTCTTTCGTATGTAAAGCTTAGCCGATCCTATTTCCTAAGCAATGGTTTTATTTTGAATTTCAACATGACGGTTGTTGTTCGCTTTAACACGATTTTCATGTAAGCCTTTCATTGTGTGTTTGGCCAAATTTAGATGTCAACTGCGTAAAGTGAGCACTACAAGTTCGAGGCGGAGATTTACCGTTGCGTTGCATTTTCTGCAGAAAGAAACTCCCTATATCGTTTGGCCAGCGTCTGCTTTCATACTACCAGAGCCTCTTGGAGTGGCATTCGTCATCGCTCCATGGAATTTTCCTTTCCGTAAGAATTTGTCTTACTTTCAATACTTCCCACCCAAATTCATACTGCAATCATGTCGGAGTTGAACTTTATAATCCAGGTTTGAGAGTTTATCTTTTATGCTAGATGATGATGTGATTTATGTACATGACGTGGGATTGAATGTTCGGCAGTCTTGGCGGTAGATCCCGTAATTGGAGCAATTGCAGCCGGTTGTACAGTTTGCCTCAAGACGTCGGAGGTCACACCAGCCACCTCTGAACTACTGAGCACGTTGGTCCCGAAGTATCTCGACAATGATGCCATTAAGGTGGTGGAAGGCGGAGTGCCTGAGGTTACGGCGCTACTGGAACAGAAATGGGACAAGATTTTCTACACCGGTGGGTACTCTGACTTTACCCTCACTTTGTTACAACTCTTTCTTCATCTTTCCAAAAACCCAAAAAGAAGCCTACTTTGATCACCCTGTGTAGAGGGAATGCTGAAATCTACGGTTGTGGAATTTACTTTGTTGCAATCTGGCTGAACCTGCAGGAAATCCGAAGGTGGGGAGAATCGTCATGGGAGCAGCTGCCAAACATTTAACCCCAGTGACTCTCGAGCTTGGAGGTAAGTGTCCCGTCTTCATCGACGACACAGTTGATCTGCAGCTGGCATCAAGGCGGATTATGGCAGGGAAGTATGGAAGTAATAGTGGCCAAGCATGCATTTCTCCAGATTATATTCTGGTTGAAGAACATCTTGCACCTAAACTGGTACATCCTCTACGTCATTCTTGCTAACCATAGCTCTGTGGAGGATGTTACTGTATTTGCTATTGTTTAGAAGAATTGAGTTACTGAGGGTTAGCTCGTCTTTCAATACAGATCAAGCAGTTCCGAAGTACATTGGTGGAGTTCTTCGGAGAAGATCCACGCACCTCCAAGGATTTGTCACGCATTGTGAACAAGAACCACTTCCAACGATTGTCACGACTCTTGGACGATCCTGCCACAGCCGACAGGATCGTGCATGGGGGAGAACGAGACGAGGATTCGTTGTAAGGCAGTCCTGCCCTTCGATTAACATCCACATGCTGACGTGTAACATTAGGGGTTCCTTTGAATCAAACAATTGCTTACGATGCTGCTGAACTTTCCAGATACATTGCTCCAACCTTGATAGAAGATCCTGCGCTGGACTCCCCCATCATGGCTGATGAAATCTTTGGCCCCTTGCTGCCAATCATCACAGTAAGTTCATTCTAAATTGTACACCTCAAACTCTGAAAACCTAAACTCCTAAGGAAAATATGATAGAGAATTGTCTGTGCTGTCTGTGAAATTCTTACCAAGTAAATTGCGCTTGACTTCGAGGGAGTAGGTAAGAAATGTCAACGCCGCCATTGATTTGATCAACGATAAGCCGAAGGCATTGGTAGTTCATTTGTTCTCCACCAACAAGGATTATGTCAAGATGTTCACTGAAGAAACATCTAGTGGCGGATTGGTGATGAACGACTGCATCATGCAATTCATCGTCCCTGAGTTGCCCTTCGGCGGAGTGGGAGAGAGTGGCACAGGTGCATACCACGGCAAGGCCTCGTTTGACACATTCAGCCACTTCAAGAGTATCTTCAACAAGAGCCAGTCAGGTGATGCTCCCATACGATATCCTCCCTTTACACTTTGGAAGCAGGCCATGTTAAGGGCGTTTCTTGAAGGAAGATTTTTTAAACTCATCCAACTTTTACTGGGCTTGCAAAAGTAGAAGCTGTGGTTTCATTGGCCGATTCCAGACCTCGATGCGAGAGCTTTCAATAAACATATGCCACCTCAAGGGCAAGGCAGATTCTACCTCAATACGAGACTATTCAATGCCTCCGAGGCTCTAATATCATTTTCAATTTTCTCTACAAAAACGGCAGTTTAGTGTGTGCAGGCAGATTTGCGAAACTGCGACCATACGGAGTCTGCGTACTTTAAAACCTGGAGTCTAGCCATCGTAATAGCCCTACCACTTAAGATTTCTAGCAGTAGGTTAATATCAGTTTCTGAGAAAATTGTACAAAACCACAAAAAATTGACATCGAAATAAGCCTGTATTTTCACCATGCATATTGTACACACCATTGTTTCACAACTGTCCCAGATCTGGGTTGAATGTGTCAATGAGTAACCACGTAATTGAATTGTCAACTGTGAACTAGCATGCGTATACATTAATTCCAATTCCTGCTTCGAAACATGGAGCCTTGCAATTGTGACTACTGTCGGTTCCTAAACTCAGTATAAATATATAAAAAAACCATTTTTAGATGAATATTGGTATAACAACTCAGCGCTACATACTATACAATGTGACTGAAATACTGCCTTCCCGACCCTCAGCTCATTCTGCGCTACCCAACTACCGTGCAAATTGCTTCCATAGGTGCTCATTGAGCCCAAAGTGTACACTCAAGTCTGGGATCATTGGTCTTGTAAAAATATCAAGGATACCAACTCCAGCGAAAGACCGAATGACCAACCTTACACTATGAAAGCAGTAGTCGTGGCGGCGCTGCTCGCCATGGAAGTTTCTGGCCCACCCAACCTAAATTTACACACGGGGCAAGTCGCTTGTTGCCTTAACCACAGGTCGATGCAAGCAGCATGAAACTGCAGAAACCCACCTCAAAATTTTAGCTTTGATATCATCTCGGCACCCGCACAGACACACCTACATGTCTAACTCATTTCTGAACTATATCTGATTCAAGGCAGTCGATAAGACCAAAGAGGACATCGTATAAACCTGATGTACACATGGAAGAGTTCGAATTATTTCACCCTCCACCACTTGCTCCAAGCAAACACTGCACGTCAACTCCTCCAATGTTTTCTGCTCGCCTTGGACAATCTTGTCCTGCATTGTCCCAGCATCATTCCAATGCACTAAGTATACATCCGAAAATTCTCTCGAAAGGATATCATGAGATTCCTTGTACCAAAGGATGTTCTAGAATTCAGAAAGATAAGAACTAACAAGTAAGCAAACTGCAACTTAAAGAAAGATGAAAAATGCTACGCCAAACTTATTTTCTGTGTGTGACATCCTCAACATTGGTTTGCACATCTTTAAATCAGTCAAAATAGAAAATTGTTCTTTTCAGGTACACGTACCGGAGTTTCATCGACAACGTCGACTTTGACTTCCTCAGAGGACAGCTCTTCTCCTTCGCTGCTGCAACAGGCATTTCACAAGCATGAGGACGGGGGAAGTGGATAACACGATGTTATCACGAGGCGATAGAGATTAGAGAGGATTGACGTACCTGAGTTGTGATTGATCAGCTGCAGGTATCTGTGAGGAGCGTTTGTACACACGAACCGGTAATCTGCTAATATCTGTATCGCTCATCGCTGGAACGCCAGGGGAATTGACTCCATCCAATGCCCTTAAAGCATCGTAATCTGTATACAACATCAAGTCCGCTATTTGAGTAATGGTATTTTTAACCTCTATTTAACATGCGACTTAGGTTTCTGCCAAGTAGACACGAATAAATCTACACGCAGAAGATACATAGATCGTGCACACACTTCTAGATAAAAGCACTGTCCCAAGAGCTGATAGCCAACAACACTGAACTCCGCTCAATCACGACAGACTTGGGCTCTACCTACAAGACCACATCGTGAATGCTGGGACCACGACCAGAAATGGGAATCACCTAGGTCATCCAATTCCCTGTCAAGTAGGGCAAGCTGCAAACGAAAACCGTGGAGCTGGGTTCTGATGGCAAAAGATAGAGTGGGGTGCATACGTAGGCGGAGCTCTGCGTGGCTTAGAAATCCACCCGCAGTCGCCGCCGCTGCAGCTGCCTGTGCCTGAGCTTGAAGTTGGTGACAAATAGAGTACATACGTAAACTAGAAGCCAGAAAAAGTACGCCCATTCCCACCCAAATCTGCAAGAACATGTCATGAGATAAAGAAAATCAAACCCATAGTTGCAACTCCCAAGTGCCTAACGTCTATACCAATGTTAAAATATTTCCGAGCTTCCGAGAGATATTGATTGCAAATAATGTATGTCACTGTCGCCCCAAGAAATTTGCAACACCTGATTCACAATATTGTAATTTATTTATTAAATTGTTTATTAATAACCAACGAAGACCGTGAGTATATCCATTTCGTTTGAAAAGGGTACAAGGACGCACCATTAGGTTTAGGGACATTTGTTCAGAACTGAGGATCATATATAATAACGCCACTGCACGACACATGAAACACGGTAAGTATGAACCAGTCTTGAAAAACTGTGAGGATAAATGAAAGTTAACTGATCGGAGGAACGAGGAGTAACGTCAAAGGCCCAACGAGATCGAACGTTTTAAAAGATACAGTAAAAACTTGACACTAACAATCGGTGAGGTGACTCTTAAATACCTGAAATTAAGAATGCCATGGAATTAGTATTCACATGACGCACAGTTCCATGAAATCCATGTCCAGACTGTCAAAACATAACAGCCATCAGAATTTAATAAAACTGTAGTCAGAGAATGTCATTCCTCTAAGCTTTCCAAGCCATTACACTTCTATTATGTAAACCTTGTAATAGGTGTAGTACATAATGGTACCCGCACGGTGAACTTCACAGCCAAATCACAATGTAGATCATACATCTTGTATAACCCAAAGTCCAAAGACTAAATTCGGTGGAAAAGAAAAGAAAAACGTAGCATTGGTAAGAAAGTATACCACATAGCGCCGATCAGGCATCAACCCTGCCAGCCCACCCTCCAAGTCTGGTCGGGCTCCTCTGAATACAAAGCTCATTTTGACGCGCTGATAACCTCTACCGATTCCCCTATCAAAACTTCCTACAGTATCTTCACAAGGTCCTCAATGGAAACTTTCAGTAAGTCTTGGTCTTGCAACAAAAAGGTTTACCAAGTGTCTCCCCAAAATCTAAGATATTGCGTACATTACTCCAGTTTCTTCCCATCAGCTAGCGAGACCATATCACCGTGACTGCTGCCTGTGCCAATCCAGAATCCTAGAACAATGCGGTTCTCAAATTTTCAGAACGTGTCCAGAACGCCAGTATAACGAAATCTTGCTTTCGTACTAATCCCCGAATCACTTACAGGTCTACTGTCCAAGAATAGCATCTTCAAATAAGATCACCAATTTGAGCAACCCCTGCACATGTATATGAATCCACAGGAGACTGAAATTGCAGTTTTGAATGCACACTATATGGAGATAGTTTAGAGTACCAACCTCTGAGGACAAAATTGTGTCAACCACCCAATAGTGTCGTACACACTTCGCAATTTCTCTCTCATGCTAAATTGAGAATTGTACACTAAAATGCGACAGGGCTTTCTTCCGCGCCCCACATCAGGGCTTCGATTACTAACTCTCTGCGCTCAACCGATCCAAAGACTACGCAAGAAGTAAAAAAAAAGGAGGCCGGCAAAAATTGGACTCTCTTAACCACTGTCCTCAGCTCATATCCAACCTCGAAGAAAGAACCGACAAATCGGTGCACGCAGAACTGACATAAGCCAAACCACGATCAAGAAACGTCCGAACATGCACACGACACATTAAAAGAAAGTTAAGTCTAACTACGCTTAACTTTGCTGCCAATCAAAAGATTCCTCTACAGTTCGTTGAATTACACTCCCACAACTCAAACATTGCTCCTACAGTCAAGCTAGGAATGAATGAAACTAATCTGACAGCCAAGGATGGAGCTACTCACAACAAAGACAACCTCTCCCGGTCGAACTCACCCAATCGCCAAGACATAGACCTAATCCCAATTAACAACTTCAGGACACACCAAAACACCATTTATCCTGCCTACCTGCCCCAGCGAGTGCACCAGCTTGAGAAAACGGTCGAAGTCATGAGCCGTGTCGTCTCCTCCAGAATTCTCACGACTCAATTCCACCGAGGATCGATCAATCACCCTCTCGTCAACAACCTCCCACTTCGAACCCAACCTTCTTCCCGAATTGTTGTCTCTCCACGAAGCGTTTACCGTCCCAGCTACCTACCACTCCTGCGCTACCTACCACTCCTGCACGTCAGCTCCGTATTGCAATCTCACGCATCTCGAAAATGTAGGACTCTACAAGGTCATGAGAGATGCGACCTATGAAGAAAAGATGCGCGCGACGGGGGAAAGAGGTTTCGTCGCTGTTTTGGATGGCAAAGTAACCGCGACGAAATCATCATCGTCGAAGTCACTAGAACATTGCATTGGGTAGTCGCAAATCCGTGTGCCTGGTTCCAAGGAATTGCGATCGGGGGAATTGCGATGAAGCCCATGCACGATCCTTCTCCCAAATGAGCGCCGCGTCTGCAGTTCCTGCTGCTGCTTCCGGGTCCTGCCCACTTCGACGAATTCCACCCCTTATGCCCATTCCCCTTGTTCCCCGTGTTCCCTTACTCTTGCACGTGATCCCATGCCCTCCTGGCTTCCCTACATTTATGGGATGCATCATTTCTGGGTCTACTAAGGACATCTTTAGGGGAGTGGGGGATTGATTCTCTTGCCAGCGATGATTTTGTCATTCAGAGTACATTCTTGGTTCGTTTTTTAGGGTTTCGGGTGCACTACTCCACAGAGACTTACTAGCAGACAATATGGTGGTAACATTTTGTTTATAAACAATTCTATTTTTGCTCCATTTCAAAAAAAAACTCGTGGTTTATCTTCAAGAGGAATTGCAAGTATAAATGGGGTTTTGCCAAACAACCTGTCCCACTTGTACCCGTGAATGAATGACACCCCCATGGAATATTATCTCCAAACAAGTGGGCAGTGGGTAAGGGGGCAAAGCTGTACATTTTGTAAATCACTGTATATTTATCCTATTACGTAAGTGCCATTTATGCTTGTTAGTGTGGTAAACCAAAGTGTTTTGAATTGTAGATGTTCCAATCATAACCCTAATTAGTACTGGCTGCATCAAATTTTATCATGCGTTGATTATCAAACTTGATTTTGGAAGATTAGATCTTTTTTTGTGAGTTTGTTTCACCTTTGGCCTCCATTCTTTGGGCTAAACTTCCAAATGAAGTAGACATGCTCACAATTTTCAGCTTAGTCCAAATTATATGTTTAGGATGAACACCAATTTCAAATACTATTCTTATGCACTACCTGGTCTAATAATTGATTATTGGAAACTCTAAATTAACACTTAGTTGGTGTTTGGAGAAAATAGATGTATTTTTAATTTATTTTCAACTCTATTACAAAGGCCTAATATATTTCGAAAATAATCCTACACTACATTATGAAGTTGCGATCCTAAAGACAAAAATAAACAAATATACTTAAAACACACTGCTGAAAATTGTCTTAAAAGTAGGTATTGTTATGGACATAGCAAAGTTCAACACTTTATTAATTGATGTTCATTATTTATTTATATATATATATATATATATATATATATATTGAACATCAATTACATAAATTTATATATATAATTAAATTAATTTAATATATTTAATATATATATATATATAAATATATTATAAAGTTCAAAGTTAACTCAATTTCTAATAATAGAAATAAAATTACTACGAAGTGTATGGAGCTGCATATTACAAGAAAGTAACAACAGACAATTAAGAAAATTGTAATGTGCTTAATAGTTCTAAACTTAAATATGGACTTTTGTTAAGAATCGTATGTCATATGAGTTGGGAAATATTGACTTGATTTCAAAACTAAATCTTACATGATAATGATAATGATACATTTAGAAATATTTATATTTTTTTAGTATACAATTTTTTAATTAAAATAATTTTAGTATGTTTTAGAAGAATCTCACAGAAATTAATATGAATTGTAATATAGAATTCAAAGACTATATAAAAAAATCAAAACACGATTATAAAGAACAGAAACTATGAAATTATTACATACATACAAACATGTCAAGACCTTATAAGTGTAAAAACAATAATTTAAGTTCAAAAAGTATTATGACAACAAAGTGCTTCAAAACATTCACCTTTTGTTGTGAGTAGATCATAAAATAAAAATAATGACTATTTTTCTACTAAAATCATAAGATAATTTATTTATAAATAAATAAATCTATATATTTTTTTTAAATCAAGATTATTGGAGAGGAAAAAAAAACTTTCTTGAAATTACTGATTTTTTCTAAAAGACCAGAAAAATGTAATTACTTTTATTACACTAATTGAAAAACTAAAATAATATAGAATCCAAATTATAAATCAAGACATAAAAAATATAGATATATCAAATAAGGTATGATTTGTAAGGAAATTGTTTGCAAATTCTATGTATCTTAAGGCCCCCTTATCTTTGTGATTTGTGAAATTCACTATAATTTTAAAATTACAAAAAAACACTCATTAAGATTTTAGATTCAGCAATGGATTTTAGAATATATCTTACACATTTTTTGTCTAGTTGTTTAAGGGTTTTACTTAGACCAAAAAAACATATTGATTTTTTTCTATCACTTTAACTAATCAATTTTCATTTTATTTTTTTTAGATTTATCAAGATAGAATTTCAAATATTTAGCATGCAAGAAAGGTAATCTATTGTATAAAATTTGTAAATCTACAAATCCAAATAAATAGAACATTTTGCAACATAAGAGGTGTGTAACATCATCATAAAATAAATGGAAATATTACCAACTTTACACTTGTAATGTTAAAATTTATACTAGAATAAATTATAGAATTAATAATACTCTGTTTAAAATATGTGAGTATATAATAACCATGAGTTTTTATTTTTATTTTTTTATGTTTTTATATTCAAGTATAAAATAATAGAAGATATAAGAATTTAGAAAAATAATAAAATATACAAATAAATGTTAAAGAACTTATTACATATATACAAAGAAAATTTTTGAGCCTTTAAACAATCTTACACATCACAATAGATTTTTCTAGAATATTCAAAGAACTTTGTAGAAATATGTGGTGAGAAGCTTAGAAACTAAGCTACATTAGATGGCATTTTAGGAAACTTCTAGAATAGTTTAGAAATTAAGCTACATGATTTAACTTGGACCACAAATCTATTTAGGAAGTTTCTTAAGAAACTTTTTGAGACTTTGTCAAGAAGTCATCTACTGTCTTGTGTAGAAAGACATGAAAGGCTTAGACTTCAAGCTTTAGGTCTTGCAAGTAATATAAATAGAAACAAGATTGAGACCCTTCTCAGTCTTTTCAACTCATCTTTATACTTCTTGTAGCCTTTAGGCCTTCTTGTTTTTGACATTAATTATTGGTTATTATATTTTCAACTATTCCTTCTTTCTTTATACACATCTTAGTCTTCAATTCTTAAAAATATTCCTTCATAACTGAAGTTTTAGATGTGCCCTTCATAGAACTTTAGATGAATACAACTTTTATAAAAGTTTTTTGATTAGTAAGTTAATAGTTATGTCTAAGAGCTTAGATGTGTAAATATCTTACTTCATAAAATTGGTATAAAATATGAAAACATATAAGATAATAAAATTAAAAAAATTTCATAATAGAAGATTATTTAATTTTTTAATATTTAGTAGTTTTTATTAATTTATATAATTTAATAAATAACTATTCAAAAAATAAATAAAAATATATCAATTTTAAAAAAATTAGTGATATATATATATAAAAAAATTGTAATATTTTAAAAGGATTGCTCTATAATCCTAAAAGAATAATTTATGATCATATTATTATTTGATTTATTCTACTAAATAGTAATATTTTTGTCAAAAGTTAATATAAGATCTAATTGTAGTCTTAAAAAATTCTTTGGTATCTTATTATTATACTTACATGTCTTATTTGAATAATTAAAATTAATAAAAACAATTAAAAACAAATTAAGTACGTAAATTCTTCTTCAAGAAGCATTAAAATACATTTTTACACATAGATTAGATGTAAAGTTATGCCATGTGGCTATAAAAAAAATTATTAGAAGTTTCTACTCTTATAAAGCTAATATAAACGTATTTAAAAAAATTATACACATAGCTTGTAAGTATATTGTTTCTTAAAACAAAATCCTCATATATTTTTTGTTAGCTATAATGAATTAAAGCAAAACTAAGAAAATCTTTGACATTTAATTTATTTTTTTGCTCTAATATTACTTTAATATTTTATCTATTTTAATTTTAATATAATTTATAATAAATTATTATCTAGAATATATATTTTTTCAGATTTAATTAAATTTAGTTCTTTGTTATTATTATTAAATTATTATATATATTTATAATAATTAGACAATAACTGAATAAAATAATTAACATAAAAATAATTTAGAGATTGCAAATTATTTTCTTTTATATTTGATAATTGTTCATTATTTGAATTCTTATACATGTAATTACATATTATTAAATTTATTTAAAATTATTATAAATAAATAGTTCAATAAAAAAGCTTCAAGAAAAAACTAAAAGAATTTATCTTTGTAATAATATCTACTTTTTCAACCACCACAACCAACATCTAACATCACTAACCTTGATAATATGCAGACAATAGAGATTTCTCTAACAACTTTACTATCTTAAGCAAATATATTTATTGCATGTTATTATATAAATACAAAAAAAATCTTAAAGAGCTAAAGGATTTTTATTTTTTTTTATTTTTAAGTTTGATGGTTTCATACCCCTATTTGAAGGATTCATCAATCAAATACTTTTTTAGTGAATATCAACATTAAAGTTTTCCTACTCAAGGATCTCAAATTAAATTTCGTAAATTTCAAAAAATCAATTTGTAAAAAAAATATTTCTTATTATTTAATAATAACAAGATTTCATTTTGGATATTTCAGATATAATTTTTTCACATTAATAAAATAAATATGACATTATTCGTAAAAAACTAGAAAAAATTAGAACTTGCAAAAAAAATTGTTTTGTATTCATGTGTGTTTTACAGCTTTAACAACCAAACATCAATGTCAATTTGAATAATGTTGTACTTAACAACCAATTAATACATGAATTACTATATTATATGACGTAATTTTTTTCAATTTTTTTTAATGCTCAAATTTTAAATAAAAAAGTGTTTTAAAATACAATAATTTATTTGTAAATTAAATATCTTTGCCTTAGTACGTATCACTCATACAACTCTTTATGTGAATGTATTTATATATTGTCATAGTAACATAACAATAATAATTTTTAATTAGTGTAGTTATTTTAGGTTATTCAATTGAAGAAATATCATGTTTTGATAAAGTAGACATTTTAATGTCATTAATTTCATGTTAATTAAAAATTCAAAAAAAATAATTGATCTTTTTTAAACTAAAAATAAAAATAAAATTTTATTTGTTATATCAAGGATATTCATGCAAATTTCATAATATATACAGATATATATATATATATATATATATATATGTATTCACACACATACACATAAAAAATCTAGCTCTCATTTACATAAATCTTCTGATAATATTTTAGATCAATATTATAACTTCTAAGATGCAATTTTTAAAATGACATAAATACTTCATCTTAACATTGTATCATTAATTATACAATTGACTTCTAAGAAAAAATTCAACAACCATTTGGAATAATTTGAACTTATTTTAATTTGTATTTTATTTTTTAAGTCAAAACTTTCTATAAAGCTAGGTCAAGCTGAAATATATTCTAAAACAAATCTAGAATGAGCCCACAATATAATATGCAGTCAATTAATTAATTTACATATATATATATATATATATATATATAGAGAGAGAGAGAGAGAGAGAGAGAGTATTTTTATATGTTTTCAACATGATATTATGTCTCATGGACTCACAAATAATCCAATTATTTTATAATTCTTTGTAATATATATGATAATTGTTTATTTATTTATTTTTTGTTATTTAGACAACATTTTTTTTCTCTTTCAAGAATCTAAATAATGTAAACACCACATTTATCTAATATTAAAAAAAATTAAGATCTTAGATTATGTGTTGAGATTAAACAATGTATACATGAAAAAATTCGAATGATATTTTTAGAGTATGTTATACCAAATGGCTTTCTATAAATAAAATTTAGAAACATACAAAGTTTTAGATTGAAAACTTTAGAATGGTATAAGGCATAAAATTTTACAAAATAATTGCTAATTATTATTAAATTAGTTTTTAATTATCTTAAATGATTATTCTTATAATGCAATGGGATTGAAAACACATTCTTTTGTAAATTGTTTATTCTCAAATTAATAGATAAGCAAAAAATATATTTTTAAATCAGAGTAATATCAATTATTAATAAGAAAATTGAATAAGGCTTACTTTATAATCAAAAATTTATATAATAATAAAAATTATTTATAATTTAATAAATATAATTTAAAGTATAAATTTATTATCTATAATTTTATAAATCTATAAATAGAAACAATAATAATCTTAAAAGTAGAAGTTTGGCAAGTATAATTTCAAAAACAATTGTACTAATGAAGATTGAGTTAAAAATATTGAATTACTTTAGAAACACGATGAGATTTTTATATTTTGAATAATAATTTCTATTCAAAGTTGGTAATGATATTTAATTATTCTTCTGTAATATTAAGAACAATTGATTATGAAATAGAAATAATGAATAAGCCAAAATATCATATCATTAATTTTTATTCAATAGCAAAAGAGAACTGTTTGATATTGTAGATGTGTGTGTAAATATGTATATACTTGTCAAAGTATGCTATAATTCGAGTTTTACTGACTTTTTTGAAGAAATCATAATCACCTTTTTCTTTCTTTCTTTCTTCATTTTTCACTGTTATTGAAGATCCAAAGTATTTTCAATATTTGATGGTCTAGTTGCAATATTAAGATTAGTCTTCATCGGAGTTTTTTTTATGTAAAAATGATTCATTTTGATTTTTGACACACCTGCTTGATTTACAACAGAATTACTAACCAATATCACCTGTTGCAAGTTAAATGTTTTACTCAAATTTGAGTCAACCCCTCTATTCAAAAAACACACTTAGCAACCATGTTCTTTACCACTTAAAAAGCTATTTGTAGTCTAACCCAAAAAAGAAAAAAACAAACATAAACACCCACCATCACACAGAGTTGGAAAGACACAGTAGCACGACCCCAGCAAAGCCGCATTACCCCCCCCCATGAGCGATTCCCACAGAAAATACAAAATACGAGGGAGAAATACAATGAGTAGAATACAGAGGGAGGGAGAGTAGGATACAAAGCGAGGGAGGATAGCATACAAAGGGAGTGTTTGACATAGCGGTAATAAGAGAGGGGGATGAGTTGGTACCTGGCGGCGGTACAGGCAGGCCAGCCAGGCTGCCAAGTGGGCCCCTGCTCCCAACGTCTCTGGCGGAGGTGGCTCCCCCGTGGACCATGGCCTTCGGAGAAACCTCCCCTCATTCCTGCGCCCACCTCATAGTCCAGTGGACGGACGGAAGGACGAACGAACGAACGATCGAACGAAAGCGACGGAGCGAAGCAGGCAGGAAGGAAGGAAGGAAGTCAGCGAGGCAACAACGCATTGCTATGCAAAGCAACGCAAACCAACGCAACGCAAGGGCAACACAAGGGCAACGGAACGATCCGAAGGAAGGGCAACGCAGGACAGGGCAGGGAAGAGGATAGCAGAGCAGAGGTAGAGTAGAAGGGGACCAAAGCCGTGTGGTGGGTTGCTGCTGCAAGGGGATCTCATGAGCTAAGCCCTGTGAACGCCACTTCTGCACAGCCAAAACACTCCGACAAAGCAGGTTGGTGGCGCATTGCTACGGTGCCGAGCTTAACGGTGCATTGGTTTTCTTAATGGTTCCGAGGTCGTGGATTTGACTGGGCGACGGGCGTACTCTAGCTGAAGATGTTTTAGGGTTTTTCCTTTGGAGGAGGTGGAGGAGGAGGAGGTGGTTGTGGCAGCGGGCAAGATGAATAGCGACTTGGACCTGTACATCTCTTTGAACTGAGCCTCTGATTGGTTTTTGATGGTAGTGATATTTTGTTGCCCGTGATGATCTTCGCACGTAGCGGGTCTGTCGGTACTCGGGGAGTACGTGTTAAGTTTTTTTTCCCCTTACAGGTGTTGTCGCGAACGAAGCGAGCGAGTGTCCGCCCTGTAGAGTGTGGTTAGATTTTTAGCTGATTCGCATCCTTGAAGTTGCCATCCGAGGTTGTGGCGTCTGTGAGGGCGTCAGCGAGGGAGTTATGTCCGATTCCCAAGTTCGGTTTTTGCAGCTGGGAGCTTGTCACTCTTGTACCGAATTCGAGAAATTGGGTTCTCGTTTACTAAGTGTAGGACCGGGAGACTGCATTACATGATGGACTGTTAGTCGGCGTTCAAGCGACCTAACTTGAGTGAGAGTTTCTTTTAAAGACTTCAGTACTATGAGCTGTCGGCAATGTTAGAAGATCGGTATAACTTGACTTTATTTTTTGTTCTTATTTTACTTTATTTTATTTTTTCAAAAAAAGTCCTCCAACTTCTGGAACTGCAACGTAGTGTACTTCTGAAGCAATGTTTTCGAACTCCGGTTGTTGTTTACGGATTAGGTCGAGCATTAGCTATCCGTGATACTGGCAATTGTCTTACGTTTCTCTACCAACTTGCAGCATTTACAAGCAGTTTTTGCCTTAGGAGTATTGCCCACGAACCTGAAGGCTGTTAATGTGGGGATCTTTCACAATATTTTTTAGTTCTTATTTCTGTGGGAGTTTAACCACTGAAATGGCGAAGTTGGAATTGCTGGCCTTGATCAGTATGCAGTAAGTGCGCTGAAAGTTAACCTAGTGGTGTGTGACGACAGGCTGCAGCCGCCAATGGCAGAGGCTGCAACCCAATTTCTTGTGGACAAGCTTGCGGATGCAATTCGTGCCTGCAACGAGGTTATTGTGGAGCTTGACAACTTTCAGAACTTTGCAGACCTCTTAGATAGTATTAAGCAGGTGTTCATAGACTTGGAAGACGGTGGCGACATATTTCAGTTGGAGGCACCAATGCGAGAATTAGAGCAAGAATTGGACGAAGCACTGGGGCTCATCGTCCTCTGCACTGTGAGGAGCCGGATTTATCTCCTTTTCCATTGCCGTGTGATCTCGAAGCAGCTGGAAGATGTCACCCATAGAATGGGACATATCCTCGCATCCATACCGTCCTCCTCTCTGCGTGGTGACGACCAACAGAAGTCCGTTGTGGATGACCTGGCCCTGGAAATGAAATCTGCTCTCTTTCCTTATAAAGATAACGAGGCCAAGCTATGCCAGACCTTGGAGCCAGAGAATAGGAACATACTAAGTGATGTGGGTGTGCAGCAGGCCATTCTCATGGACATTGCTCGCACTGTGGGGATCGAGGATTTGTCGAGAAACCCAACAGCGTTCAGAATTGAGCTGGATCTGTTGAGGAGAGACGTGGAGGACTCGAAAAATACGAACGATATGCGGTTGTTTGGTGTGGTCAGTGACTTGTTCAACAAATGGCTGCAATTGAATGAGCAACCAAGTCAATCGGAAGAGGCACTTGCTGTGCACCCATGTCACAAACGCCTTGAGCCGCTGTATGAGGCGTTTGTGTGCCCCTTGACGAAGCAAGTGATGCAGGATCCTGTGACTCTAGAGAATGGGCAAACTTATGAACGAGCGGCGATTGAGCGCTGGTTCCAGGAATGCAAGGAAAACGGTCGGCCGATACTGTGTCCCATGACGGGGCAGGAAGTGAGCACGACGGTGAAGCCTAGCTTGGCTTTATGGCACACGATCGAGGAGTGGACTCAGAGGAATGAGCAGGCTCGCATGGAGATTGTGAAGCAGATTATCACGTCCGGCAAGGCTGATGCTGATATCGCGTTTGCGCTCTCGGACCTGCAGATTCTGTGTCGGAAAAATCGATTAAACAAGCATAGAGCACGTACCGAAGGGTTGATACCGTTGATTGTCGATCTTCTGAAGAATAGTGAGGAAGTGCGATGTCTCGCCTTGAGCAGCCTTCGCCTACTTGCAGAGAACGACGATGACATAAAGGTATAGATTGGTACATTTCAGTGTTTCCTCTTTGAATACGAATTTGGTGTTGAAAATTGTGTATATTGAACCCGGCGTGCTCATATTCCAGGAAGAGATTGGTGCCACGGATCTTAAACGCGTGGTGAAGTGCTTGTCACGTGAACATACGAAAGAGCGTGAGGGGGCTGTGTACCTGCTATATGAACTATCAAAATCATACTCACTTTGCAATAAAATTGGAGAAACAAATGGTGCTATTTTGATATTGGTAGGAATACTTAGCAGCAATTCTGAGGATGTGGCTGTAGTTGACCATGCCGAGAAGGCGCTGGCCAATCTGGAGCGGTGTGATAACAATGTGAAGCAGATGGCTGAGAATGGACGCCTTCAGCCACTCCTTAAACGACTTGTGGAAGGTAGGGAAAGTGTAATCTAAGTGGTAAAATGCGTTTGATAAAGATATATATTTTTGATGGATTTGTTATTGTTTACATGTTAATTTGTTGGTTGATCAATTCAGGAATGAACCAATGTGCCGGTGGATGAGTTTTTCGTGATAAGCTATAGGAATTTGTAGTACTTTTCTTTGTTTAATCCCTTGTTTAATTTTCCCATGTTCAGGACCGGAAGAGGTTCGCATTGAAATGGCGGAAGATCTGTCCATTGTACCTTTAACTTCTGAAGACAAGAGCCGAGCTGCTCAGAGAGCAGCTTTTGCACTTGTGGAGATGCTTGGCAGTCACAACTCTGTGGCTCGTGCAACAGCGCTGAAAGCCCTGCGTAGTTTGTCTACTCTTCCGAGTAATGGAAATCTTCTGATCGAAGCTGGTGTATTGTCACCTTTGATGCGAGATCTATTTATTGTTGGCCCTAACCAAGTACCTACTAAGCAAAAGGAGATTTCGGCGGGTGTCTTGGCCAATGTGGTTGGTTCTGGTGCAAATTGGGAGACTGTTTCTGTGGATAAGGAAGGAAATTTTCTGGCTTCAGAGAAGATCGTGCATAATTTCTTACACTTAGTCAGTAATACTGGTCCAGGCATTGGGGCAAAGGTTCTGCAGGTCAGTGTACCTTCTCGCTTTGGCTTTTCTATTTTTATTTTATTTTATTTTATTTTTTTTGGTCAGCACCAAGAAGCGATAGGATTTTGCATTAAAGTTCGGAGTACTGAGCCTTTTGGGTTCATGTTGCAGGTGCTAGTTGGACTGGCTTCTTCAAATAAATCTGTTACCAGGTTAGTCCAACACATAAGGAGCGCAGGTGCGACTGTAAGCCTCATTCAGTTTTTAGAAGCGCCGCAAGCTGATTTGCGAGTGACAGCAGTGAAGCTATTGATGCTCCTTTCTTCACACATGGATCAAGAGCTTGCAGATGGTCTTCGTGTCACGACTCGTCAGCTAGGGACCTTGATAAAGCTCCTAGACTCAGATCAACCTATGGAGGAGCAAGCAGTGGCTGCGGGTCTGCTCGCAAACTTGCCCATGAGAGACTATCACCTCACTCGGGCCATGCTAGATGAGGGTGCTCCCGCCTTGCTGCTCAAACGCTTAGACGATCTCAAGAGGGGGGTTGTCCGTCCAAGCGACAGGAGACACATAACTCCCTTTAAAACGGGCATGGTTGGGATATTAGTTCGCTTTACCTGTGCTCTCGACGACCAAAGGATCCTAAACTTAGCTAGTACGTACAACTTTACTGAGCTTTTCACATCACTTTTGCAAAGTGGGGGATCGGACGAACTTCAGAACTCAGCAGCGAAGGCACTGGAAAATCTGTCCGAGAAGACACCGCAACTTTCTAGTGTTCCAGACCCTCCCAAACCAAGAGGAATTTATCGACTCGCTTGCTTCAAGCAGCCTACTCCCTTGATTGGTCTTTGCCCTGTACACTCGGGGGTGTGCACATCTAAAGAGACATTTTGCCTGTTGCACGCCAAAGCCCTTCTGCCTTTGGTGTCCTGCTTAGATCACAGGAATCCTAGCATTGTGGAAGCAGCCATTGGGGCCTTGTCGACGTTGCTGATGGACACTGTTGATATGGAAAGAGGATCACAGGTATAAATGAAGTTTGTCATTGCGCACACCCAATTTACTGTTTTTTCCACCTGTTTTTGCTTGCATGTCGCCGTAATTAGCAGCAAATGCAGAATGCATGTATTACGTTTGGTATTTGTTTGTGAAGACCACTTTTTGAGTTAGTTTCTTCTGTGAGTTTTCATATCAACGCCTCTAAGTTCTCTGTCGAGCAGAAAATTTCGCTAGTAACCATGGTTGGCTTTTCAGGAGCTACAAAATGCAGGAGGTATACAACCAATTTTGGTGATCATGCAAGAGCATCGAACTGAAGTGCTGCGCCAACGGGCAGTGTGGATGGTGGAGCGAATTCTTCGCAACGGTGACTTGGCGCGTCAAATTTCTGGTGATCCACATGTTCATACTGCTCTTGTTGATGCATTCAGGTACGGCAATAATCAAGCCAAGCAGCTGGCCGAGAAGGCATTGAAGCACTTAAACAAGATTCCGAATTTTTCTGGCGTGTTTCAAAAAGTGTAAAGTTAGTGCCTCTTCATCCAAAGAGTCCCACCTGGCTCGTGTATACAAGGGTTGTCCCATTCAATGAAAACGACAATTTTTTTCCGTAGTATATTTAGCGGGTCACGGGAGAATCGCTGTGTAAATCAGACAAGGAGTTTAGTATCTATGTAGCTTTCGTAACTGGAAACCTCTTGGGTTTATTATTCAGTGCATGCTCTGACTGTGCAAGATTTAGCACTGCATTTGCCTCTGAGGTCCAGTGTTATCCACTAATCTTTGTCGTAGATTTAGTGGTTCAGGGGTTTCAAGCAGTATCAGTTTTCCCCCTCTTTCAACTTCTTTTTGAGAGAGGCCATTTATGTCCTTCCTGGCCGACTTACAACAGTAAGTGTAGAAGTATAATTTGGAGCTTACAGTGCTCCATTTCTTAATGAAATGTATCTTGTTTCAGTGTATTCAGTATTACGAATCATCGCCGAGTGGAGGCTTTTGCCGTAAAGATTCATTTACACAGTGCACATTTTGTTGCGTGTGATGTGGCTGTTTCTTTACCGAAATTATTTTAGCATCTTTATCCTTGTCCAGAGGTGTGTATGAGTAGAAGGATAGTGCCTGAATTACGATGCAGAGCTAGTGAGAGGCGGCAGCGCAGATCCACTCGCATGTGATATAATATGTGTTCCAGGTTTTGAAGAATCTATACCTGGTTGAAGATTAGGTGCCTGAGAAAGGTATTTGAAGCGCCGTTTAGAGAACATTTTCATTCACAGTTCTGCAAAAGTTGAAAATTAAAAAGAAGGGGTAATATAGAATAAGAGTTTACTATTTGCACATGCTATAATAGACATGTATTTTCTAAATAACAATCAGCAAACAATTTAAGTTTGATAAAAATTAAGTTGTAGGCATGACATGATCTGCAACATTTTGAAAAGCATTGAATAAGATACAGTTCATCTAATAAGTCATCAAAAAATATAAAACCAGTGGCTCATTGTTGAATTAGGATAATGAAATCATCAAAACTTCTTAGACAAATCATGTCTAATCCATCATAAATTGTTGTGGGTATGTATGAACTGAATAAAATGTAACACAAAGTGTACAAGGACCTAACTTATTTGTGCAATAGTATTCTTACAATACTACATAATTAATTCTCTGTTTGTTTGTTTGAATAATTTAAAAATTAATCATAAATAATTGCCCCCAATATAATCTTACTTGTTGCATACCATGTTGTAAGTTATCAAAAACTGTAAAACTGGTGGCTCATTGTTGTTTTTCCTTAAACATGGCTCACAATACCAAATCAACAAAAAAGAACCTTAAAATGATATCTTTAAATGAGATTTGTGACACCTTGTATGAAAGTAACTCAAAACAATATAATTATAGTAAAGTGTCATATGTTTAGAAAGAAATAGTTTCCTTATAACTTTGTATAATTTAGCAAATAAATATTTCAATAGCTATTGAGCACATAGATGATAAGATACCTACTTAGTGTATTTCGAGTTTTGTAATTTAGTCCAATTAGGAAGCTACCACAATTTCCTTTCACTTGAACTTATTTTAATTTAATTCCAATTGTCTTCTCCAAAATCCACCCTACCAAGTTCTTTACATATTTTGCAATTATGTATATAGATCAAATTCACAAATTGAAAATTTAAAAGCATCTTTTCATTTTTGAAGGATTAGAAAGATTTTAATATGTTTGGCACTAAACATATATATATATATATATAGACTATTCATTTTAATAAAAAAATTAATTTATAAAATAAATGTATAATCAAAAAATATTTTGATTTTTATGAATTATGTATCATTGCAGTAAAAAACTATAATAATACAAACATAATAATATATATTATAGTTTTTGTCAAAATAAAATATTTATTATAAGTCAATATTCATGTTTATTTTTTTTGTTATTTTTATTTATATTTATTTTTTAATTTGTAGAACTTAAGAATACATCTTATCTACACATCTTTGCTAAACATGTATTTCTACCTATTCCAAATCTTATTTAGTGCCTTAATCTATGTTAAATCTTTTGTTTGCAAGTAACATAACTTAATAAAGATTTCAAGTATACACCAAACTAGGATCTAAATCTTTTTCTTTCATCATGCATTTAAAATAAAATAAAATAATTTAAAAACTCAATAACTATTTCAATATAAATTTTGTTCACTTAACGAATAAAAGAACAATTTTAAAGTTAATACCTTTATTAGTGATTTTAAACTTAACATAGTTTTTGTACAAAATACTCTATTAGCACATTTGTTGCCATAGAGGCCTTCATAATATTATGAATTCCTTAAAAACTTCTTAAATCCTATTTTGTTACATACAAAATGTGTAGCTTCTCTTTATACTTTTTAAATTATTTGTCACAATGTTTTAGACCAAGTAACATCAATGATACATTTGATGTTAGTATATAATTTTCATTATTTAAAATATCATATTTTATTTTTATTTTAAAATATATATATATATATATATATATATATATATATAAAAATGCATGTATCAATTAAGTCTATTTTAATATTAATTCTAACATTTTGAGTTACTCCTCATTCTTTGAGTGATTTCTTAAGATAATGAAGTTATCTTCTTTAAAAAAAAGCAAAAAATTATAATTTATTAGTCGAGTTTGACAAAAAAGAGTATATTCTTATTTCTCTTAAAGACTTTATTAAAAAAATAGTTAATATATTACTATCATAACTTTTTTAGTATTTATATAAATTATTTATTACTCAAAATCAATAGGAAGATTGTAGTTTTTACTATTCAATATTCATTTAAAATATCAAATTATGAGAATATAGATAATTAACTATCTTGTCTTATATTTAAATTTTGATTATATTCTAAAGTTATTGTTTAAAGAAATACTTCAATTAGAAGAAAAATATTATTTAATGCATATAATTGTAAGTTTTACTGGTATATACAGTATCTTATTACCACTTGCTATAAATTACATATAATATAGTAGAATTAAATATGTTTATCCTAAAATGATTTATTGCAAGTGAAGAGATAATGTTTTTGTTAAAAAGACAAGCCATTAATTTTAAGATTTTTCATATATATATATATATATATATAAGATATTAATTTTAGTAAAATCTATTAATTAATGTATAGCTTCTTATGCAAATCTTTATAAAAGGTTTTTTTGTGCCAATTTAAATCTATTTTTATATAAATATTAAAACTCAATGTTGTATAAGAATATTTTTAAAATTTCTATATTTATATGTTTTATATAAAAGTCATCAAAGTTCTTTAATTTAAAAAATATGTATTATTTGCTCACAAAATATAGTGAATTTTTCATAATTTTAGATATAATTTATACAACTTATATTTAAGTCTTGTTAATTTTTAAAGATATTGTTTGTTGGTAGTCTATTAGTTGTTGTGGAATATGTCTTTGGAAATAATCAAATTTGAATCTATATACCTTGACATCTTAAAATTGTTTTTAGATATTTTCAATTATAACACTATGTTCAATTAGACTAGTTATTACTTTGATGTCTATGTTAAGCTTTAATATTCCATTTATTCATTCTTATTCTTTTAGAATTATTTTTATATTGATAATAATTATTTAATTATTGACTTTGTTTTTGAAGTGCTTCAAATTCAAAAACATGTTTTGAATTTGTAACACATGTAAGCAATAAGTACAATTTACATTTATTGTACTTATTGCTTACATGTGTTATTACCTTGTGTTATTACCAGGTAGCTGTATTTTAAAATTCCTTTGAAGTTTGATTCATTCCAATTTGGATTTATGGTTTGTATTATTTGATTTTTAAATCTTAATCATTTATTCTGTATTTTACATTAAAATAGTTTATTGATTGAAGCAAATATATGTATGTATGTATATATATATATATATATATATATAAATAAAATAAAAATATTTTTATAAGAAATAAATATTCATAATTTATATTTTGGTACTTATTTTCTTTATTTACAGGTATATATATACAAGATAGTGCTAATGCCACCACAATTTTTGCTACACCCACCACAATCCAAGTAATATTTTTGCTACTTCTATCACAAATAGTATCTAGCTATTTATCTATCTATCTATCTATCTATCTAATCAAAAATTATAATAATTAAAAATATTAAAAATCTAAAAAATATGTAGAATGGGTGGCAAGTTTTAATGGCAATAAGAAAAACCTAAGTGGCAGTAGAAATATCCTCTCTCTCTCTCTCTCTCTCTCTCTCTCTATATATATATATATATATATATATATAATAAAAATCACCAAAAACAATGGTGGCTATAAGCAATATGATTGCAATGTTTATTTCAATAAAAAATAAACATATTTAGAAAGGCACAAATATATTTTTAATATAATAAGAAACAAAGAAAATAATAATTATTGGTTTTAGAAAGAAATTATGAAGAATATATATATATATATATATATACAATTCTATAATTATATGAATAAATAAAATTAAAATTATTTTTTAATTTTTTTTACTAATAATATTTTTTAAAAAATTACAAAAAATATTAATATAAAAATATATATTTTTATTCTAAAGAGACCATAAAAACTTAGTTGGATAAATAAAGTTTAAATTTAAAAATAGATATTATAAATTCTAGAATATTTTAATGAATTAAAATGGTTCTTAATTACAAAATTATGTTATATAATATTTTTAGTAGTTTTAAATCATTTTATAAAATGATGACATAGTGATATAAAAAAATATAGGATTAGTTACAATTATAAAACATTAGGAGGTCATTTATGAAAGACAAAGATCCTTGCAAAAAAATATTAAAATTATTAAACCTTCAACAAAAATAGAATTTTTATTTTATTTTATAAGTAGATTAGCCACTTGCATTACACAAATGGATTTGCAAGAGAGATTTTTAATAAACCAAAATTATGTATTTTGATAGATATTAACTTTGTAACATCACATATGAAGGTTGGTAGTATTAATAAAATATAATGTTTTTTTTAATATGTATAGTAGCAAGTAAACTTTTAAAATAGATATGTTCCATATGTAAGTTATTAAATTACAAACAAGAAGCTGATTGTATTAAAAACATATATATATATATATATATATATATATATATATATATATAAGACTTTATATAAAATAAATTAAAATAATAATAAAGATTAATATGCCAAATACTTCTAAAAGTATTAAAAAAATCATAAAAATATTATAATTTATTTCTAAAAAAAACTTGTTTAATATGCAAAAATTTGATGAAGAAAAAAATATAAATTGCAATCACACATTTAAAAGGTCATTTACTTAAATAATAAATTAAATATATACACACAAATAAATAAATATATATATATATATAGGAGAATGTTAAATGGACCCATACTTTTACTAAATACACCTACCTTTAATAAAGAATATGGTAATTATTATGAATGTGGTAGTTATTATTGGTTACTAACCCAATAATAGAGAAATAAATGTAATAATCATTATTTATTAGATTTTTTAGACAAATTTTTATATCTAATTTGTAAATAAAAATTATCCAATAGATTGCAATTTGTAGAATTAATTCAATGATATAAAGTTAAGTCCTTTTCCTATTGCCTTTTTACAAAAAAATAAATTCTGCTTATTAATGTTAAACCATTACCTAAAAAGGATCCTTGTATAACAAAGGAAGTGCTTTGTAACGGAAAGGTCTTGGATTCAAATCTTGGTGTGGACAACAATTATTCATAACTTTTTATTACCACATTAAAGATTTAGAAATTTTACTTAAACAACTTCCTTGCTTCAATTTCTCTTATTATCTTTAGACTATAAGTTTTTAAATTCTGCAAGAAGGGAATTTATTTTTAAATTTTAATCTATCTAAATTTCTTATTCTGGTGAATATTAAATTTACATATTCATTATTTTTAATGTCCAAGATAGAAGTGAATTCTTAGAAGCTTTCTATTGTCTCTTCAATAATTCAATACTAATTTATAGAAGCTAAGAAACTACCTCATTTACATTATTATTTAGAAACACAAAAACATCAAACTTCCAAATCTTTAATTTAATCTATTCCAACAGTACCACCATCTAGTATTTTAAAATGTATGTATTCATTGATATTAGTTAAAATGACATGATATTATATAATATTAATGTTCAACATTGTGGTTCATATGCATATTGGAATTAAATCAATTCCACTAAGGATTTTCTACTTCACACACTAATGTTTTGGACATCATTCTCTATCTTCAACAACAAATCACACCATTCAATAATCATCTGCATACTGTCCAGAAAACGGCAAATTCAAGCACGCATGCTTATCCACACATTGTCCACCTAAACTTCAGCTATTTGTATACCACTAATATAACATTTCCATCCCAATCTGTGATCTCGCCAAACATGAGCAATGCCTATTAACGATGGAATACAACATCAAATTATTGTCTATTTAGTTTTAGTCTACGAACAGTGGAGTATCAAGTATACTATCATTCAACCTTAGAACATCCAGTCGTAGCATCCGTCTCCGGACACTGCAGAACCTGAAGATAAACTTGATAAAAATTCATGCAAGAGTCGACCCGGTTAGTTTATTAATTTATCCGGTGGTGGATAAGGGTATCAAAGTTGATGAATCTTCCACGGAGACGAGGATATTCTAGATATGCAAAACTGCAACTCACCTTGATCTACATGTGAGGCGGCCTGCATAATGTCGAAGGCCCGGCCAAACCAAAAGGAATAATTAGTCAAAGCACCGATGACGAGCATCCGAACAATCGCCGACGCACATCTGATCCATCCACCAACCTCGCATACGTATCGATCAGATCGATCGGGTTGATCGATCAGAACGTTATTTCCCAAACTTCGACCGTGGGGCTCTTTGAGTCTGTGCACGACGTTGTTTCTGGAGCTAGATGATTGAGTTGATTGCAGCGAGTTTTCTAGTGAATTGTGTGTGTGCGCGGTGTATTGGGAGGTGATCGGTTTTGGTTGCAGCGATGGTTCAGGGTCAGGACGATTATGAAGACTACGACGCCGTTCCGTACAAGGGAGGTTACGACCAGGAAGCGGCTTACGGCTCCTTGAGGACGGCCGATGAGGAGTGTGGGTACCAGAGGACGGAGTTCGGGGAAAGAGACGACGAGCGGGAGGGAGGATATGGCAATGAGAGATGTCCGTATGGGAAAGTGCCGGGACCATCTGTGTATGGAGGTGTTCCTACCCTTGGAGGTGTTTATGGTGGTGGGCGCGACCGCACTCGACCGAGCTCCGACGGAGCGCGGCCAGATGAAGGCATTCAGGCGAACTGTGGACCTTGGAGGCCTGCTTATGGTGAAGAGGAGGGATCGGGCCATACTAATCCATCTTACGATGAGCAGGAGGAGGAATACCGCAAGTCGAGGCCCAGTCACAGAAAAGAAGAGACGACTTACCAGCAGTCGGCATATCAGAGGTCATCTTACGGAGAGGAATCAGGTTACCGCAACCCAACACCAGTCTACTGGGAAGAGGGGTTGGGATATATGAGGTCAGGTTACGGGGAAGAAGAATTCGATTACCGCAAACCAAGGCCTGCCTATGGTGAAGAGGAGTCGGAGTACCGTCACTCGCAGTACAGGAAGGAAGAGGCGACCGCGGAGGTGGGCTATGGCGGATATGGCCGTCGCCAGCAGTATGGTGAGGAGAGCGGCCATGGTGGTCGTTACAGGTATGACGATGCTGGTGAGTCCGCCCGGTATGCCGGTGGCAGTCGCTACACGGAGCTGCAACCTGCTGAAGAGGACACCTCCAGGAGGTTTTGGTGGTGATTGCTGCTTGCGGGTGGTAAAGCGAGGGACTCGGCGCTGTCTCCGAATGTAGTTTTTACCATGTGGGGACGTTAAGATGGCACTGTGTGTTGGTCTGTCACCTCCATGATGAGGATGGGAAGGACTGGTCTAGTGCAATAAGCATGGAGTCATAGTGACATGACTGCGGTTAGGCTTTGTTTGGGTTTGTGAATTTTCGATAAATAGTGCTTTCCCTATGATCGAATTACGTACTCTTATCGCTGGACATAAATTTTGTCGAGCAGTTCCTGTCATGCAATCAATCTGTTTCACGACTTGGTTGTCTGGAGCTTAATGCAATCGCCATGTTTCGCTCGGGAAGAGTCTGCCTGACTGCGTGCAAGACCTTCAGTGAGGTCTGGTTATAGGTGCAAATTTTGAGAATGATCTTAGGTATGGACTTCAACTACGCCGTGGACATGGTGTCTGTTCTTTAGCAGCTATGCTCTGACTCGGTATGGCTTCGACATGAGTCGATTTTGGAACAATTTCGTTTTGCCCTTTCCATGACTGAATTGCAAGGATATGCTCCATCTCAACTTCTGAACCCACGTCCAGTCTCAATTGCCAGTATGCGAATCCAAATAATCTTAATTTAGGAAAATTCCTTTCGGAACGAGCTTTAGCTGAGCGAGAATGGTCAATGTTTCTTGACGACCACTCAGATTGGTATAAGAGCTGCACTTTATTCTCTACCGTTGTGCAGCTTTTTGACTGGTACACCGTTACTTGTCCTCTCTCGTGGATTCCGTGTAAGTGGACAAGGTTTCTTTAATGTCCTCAACTGTCTTCATTTAGCTGCTAATGTATTTGAATTAAGCTAATGTATGATCTGTCTTTCCTCCCAATGTAGCTTCTCGATTCACGTTTTCAACATGAATGGAAGACTCTGGCAGAATTCTATTGCCGGGCTTCGCTTCTAACCACATTCGAATTCATGTTGTGAACAAATTCTGGCTCTCAGTCGTTATAGCCAAGGAATATATTTTAAAAATAAATTCCTTAGTTGATCCCTCATTTAGTTTCTGCACTGTCGAAGTTGATACTGGTGAAACGCTTGAATTCGCAAGCTTTAAGCTGCTGCTCGTTGACAATGTGGCCAAAAACTGTGGGTCTTTTAAGGCTTCTCAACTGTGGACTACAATCCTTTTTACAAATTTTTGGCATCAAAATTAACCTGATGCAGACAATTCTGTGTAAAATAAATCTAGAATCAGAAGTGAAGGATAGAAATTTATTGAAAACTAGTATCTATCATATGTTTATATGTTTCTAAAAACTTGAGTTTGTTTTCTAAGATCACACAAATATTGTTTTGTAGAAGATTGCAAGTATTTGAGTGTTTATATTTTGATGTAATTGTACAAATATATGTATGTATATATATATACAAATGTATTTTTAATGATTACACATATATCTTATGTTTTCCAAATGTTATCATAACCAACACTATTCATAGTTATTACTAGGAGACAGCAGCAATGGGAGGAGATTGGTAAGAGGAAAGATTTGTAATAACTAAAGGATTCACAATCTTCATTGCAACCACTTTTGCAAAGCACAAGAAAGGAAAGCAATGTCAGGTGGAAGGAAACCCCCACCGACCATGTTGACCACACATTCCTTTGAAGTTTTGGTGAAACTTCAACGTCGGTAGATCTAAACTTGATTGTACAGCAATCAGACCAGCTATACCTTCCAGTAGAAATGTCGTCTCCTCAAAAAACTATATTTTTTTCATCTTGAAATTGAAGTCTATATTTATATACTCAAATCCGTGGTTCATAAACATGTCACAAAGTAAACAAACAGAGTAATTTTCGTTATTGAGAAATTAAACAGTTTCACATTAGTGATGAAACTAAGCGGTGATTGTAGAAACGGACATCATGGATCTGGCATGGATGAAGCAGCAGGGGAGAACGACACCAAACTTCCACAGCGTAGCTCACAGAGCGGATTTCGATGCAATAACAGTGTGGAAAGTGCCAGAAAAACACAGAACATGGGAAAAGCATAGGCCTCAGGATAGAGCTGTACATGCCTACCCAAAGTGCATGTGAATTGCTTTTACTACTCCGGATCAACAAAAAAGATACTAAGAATATTACCTTTAACTTGCAGGAGGTTACATTCCTCTCCATCCGAAACTAAGCCAGGACCTGGATTCAGAGACTTAGCTTGTCAACTAACAGTAGCTATGACTTCAAAACTCTCTGCGATGATCTTTGCTTCACTTTCTAGAAGATGATAACTATGCCTCTTACTAACTAACAGGTTATACTGAACACCCTGGGTTAATCTAAGATCCTCTATAAACGATAACATCTTACGAAGTTATTAAAACACCTGCAAAAGAGTAATACTCTCAAAAGAGCGGCAGCCGTTTCAATCTCTTCGCGGTTCTAGAGGATGGATTGAACTGGTTCACCTGTTTCCGATCAATGCAGTAGATTTCTGTGAAGAGTGTGTGGACCTTATGATCTAGACGATAGAGGGCGCTTGAGGGAATGGACACCCAATTATGCAGAAGCGCTCGGTCTTCGGCCTCCAGACTCTCGAACTTGTTTTTGTTGTGTTTGCACTCGTTCACGAAGAAGCGACCGAAATAGTTCGAGAGCTTGATGGCTGAGTCGGAGCGGACGATCTTCCACAGGGGGTTCCACTCCCAGGGAGCTTTCTCCGGGTGCCACTGGGTCGCGTACAATGGCAAGTCCTTGCCCTCCACAGTGGACACGAACGGTTTGCCGTTGCGGTCGAGGTCGACAGACAGCACCTTCATGTGCTTGCTGAGCTCCGTGTTGTTCACGAACGCGTCCGGGTGGATGCCCAGTTCATGGTTGTTGAATGCCAACCGCCCTAAGGGTGAGGCTACCTCCGTGAAAAGCTCGTCGCTCATGCTCCGGAACAGGCGACTACCCCAGGCGGGATCGGTGAAGCCCAAGTTGATGGCGTAGTTCTCTGCGTCGAATTTTTCCACGATAACCGACTTCTCGTCTCGCGCTATCAACTGCAGCAACCGCTCGAAGCCCAGACAGGTGCCCCATAGCGGGTAATAGTTTCTCTGACGATTCTCCCGCAAGACATACTTCAAAATGTACTCCGTCGTCTTTCTGCAAAAATAAATAAATTAAGAGATCCCATCATTAAACCTCGAATCTAAACCTCGATTCAGGAATGAGCATTGTCATCATGGCTTAACTATCTGCAAGTCTGCAAGGGAAACCGGTTCCAGTATCAGGCACTTGAGAGACTAACAAGTATCTGGAGCCGTTAGTTGATCCGGTGTGCGGATTGAAGTCGACATTTCCACCGGTCCAGAACACCCCGTTCACGCGGCTCAAGATGTAGTCGAGCTCCTCCGGACTGGAGTCGTAGAAGATGGGCACCACGCGAGCGCCACCAGCTTGCACCCAGCGCGCGTTGGAGGTGGCGATCACTTGGGTACCATACTGTAAGCACCTCGGTTCCGGCAAGGTCAGCACTCCGATCACAGGGTGGTACGTCTTCATATCCGGAGGTCTGTAATACGCTGATTCCACTTGCCAAGCACACAGTGCCAGCATTGACACCAATAACATGCTCATCGCCATCATGGTACCAATCCGTTGCTCCATCAGTTGCTGAAGTAGCGAAATCTCAAAAGCTTGAAGAATACTCGTCCGATCCCATTCAAAACCAAGTCACTACGTCAAAAACTATATCCTCTACCTGAGTTTTCCGCTCCTTTGAGTCGCTGGGTAGGTGTTGATTTGCGAAGGATGCAGATACACCCTCCTTTGGAATGACGAAGAAGAAATACATCTGCAGGCGAAATTGCAGCTGCATGAACTACTTGCTCTTCTTTGGGCAGTTCCGCTTCTTAATGCCCACTTCCGAGTTCTACCTGCGACGGTTCTCCCCTTCTCCTACATCGCAGGAAATTCCACGTCAACGCAAAGGGCACAAAAATATCTTGAAGAATAATCACTTTGCCAGGGTCCACCGGCAGAATGATGCAAAAGATGATGTGCAGGTTCTCAACTCTTCTCAGTAGTGTGCCGTGATTGAAGCCATTGTCTTATCCGAACACTTCGATGGTACTGTGCCAGCATTTTCGTTAGCCTTCCGAGTCATTCAACCGGCAAAATATTTGCACGGTTCACATTGTTTCCGAAGTGACGAGCTTCACAATATTGTTCTCGTGTGACGATTACCTGCACTCATGTGAGTGTAGCCAGGTTATTCTATTTTTATTTAATGTGTCGAACTGTTCTTCGAGTAGCGGTGAGTGTTTGAATTCTGATCGAAGGCTCAGACTCAAATTTATAATCAAATCTGATGAGTCACCAACTCTGGTAACTGATAAGGTGGAGTTGGCCACTTGGCAGTGGGTTTGATCGGGTTCCAGGTTTTGAGCTGGTTGATGGTGGAGAATGGCCGTGTTAAATACAAGTCCCAATGCCATGCGCAGCAAGTCCCAATTTTGTATTTAGACTGAGACCCGCTGAATCAAGGGTCTCAAATTGAAGCAGAGCGAGCACTGTATTTGGTCACAAGTTGACGCAGCTCCGTACCAACGGTGAATCTTCGGCCAGAGCACGTATTACAATGTTGGCCGAAGGCATGGGACACATTACTAAATTTACTGAAGGCGCGAAATATATTACTATGTTGACTGAAAGTTTATGGCAACCACAGCTCTATCTACCTTAATATTCATTTTGCAGTATTCAGTCTTGGTGGATTCATCGCAGAAGTTAAAAATACCAGCACCAGTAAACTGCAGTCGTTGCTGGACAATTCTCAAATGAGAACATTTAGATGTACAATTAGGGGAGATATTCGTGTAAGACCCAAAGCGTCATAAGAAATACTACTTTCAAATGCAATGTGTCTAATATTAGAAACCTGTTATGGCATATTTTGATGGGTTACTATGACTTCTTGTAACATCGGGCCCCAACTGATGCCCAGTAATATTCTCAACCTAGGAAAAGTGAGTGGGCAATAAGTGAATGAGCCCATATCTGGGTTGCTGCACTCTGACAACTGTCCTCATATTAAGATGGTCACTGTCACTGCAACTACACATCAGATTTGATTGAAGCATAACCCCCCATTCCAAGGCACCTCGGCCATGCAATCAGACACAATTACAACAATCCTTGCTTTCTTTGGTATCCCTACGGATAACTCATGAGCTGTTCCAACAGATGATGTATGTCTCTTTCCACAAGGTACAATCGAGTTTTCAATCCAAGGATTGAATATTTTGGGGAACATATGGGTTGAAGAACAAAACGATAATACGATAAACATATCTCTTTGATATTAAAAAACACTAATTATATAAACAATTTCAGAAACAATTTAAAAACCAGCAACAAGATAAGACCATTCTGTGAGAAGAAATGAAAAGGAAAATAAATAAACGAATAAATGCAAATAAAATAGACAATTATACGGTTTTTCTCATCCAAGTTAAAATTTCTTAGCACATGACTTCCTAACACAATCCACATGAACAAGATTTAACCTTCTCACCAACCATACTATTGCAGTTCTTTAAATATGTCTGTAATTACTTGTTCCATGTTAGGCAAGACGAGGTGTTAGTCCATCCATGCAAGTAATAATACTACTCTTTCCAGTATTAACCATTTTCAGAAGAAGCCTGTTGTAAAGAGCTACATTCTTTTAGTTTGAACATTAGGCAGCTAATCCCAAACTTTTCACACCATCTAATGACAAAATATTCAAAATCTGTTTCACAGTGGCGCACAGAGTAACGCGAGATGGATACTACAGGAACAATTCCTTTCACGTGAAGGACTACGAATACGGTTAATACTTACTACTCCCAGATTTATTCTCTGATATATTCTCTTCCCTGCCGATATATCTTCAAAGCACATTACGATTAAGTTGTGTATTCAGCATTAATTTTGACGTAGTCGTAGCTAAGATCACAACCCCATGCTTGGCTTTGTCCAGGGCCATGTCCTACAACATCCAATTGTGCAAACCTGTCAGTACATTATACACAAGAAAGTGGAGCTTAAGCACAAAGATGATCTAAAAAATAGGTAAAGCCTTACCAATACATATGTTGATGGAAACAGTTCCATGCACTTCTCCAGCTTTTTTTAGGTATGCGCTTGCTCCATTGCTGCAAAAGAAGCCATATGAGATTTCAAGGACAGCTTTGCGATAAACATTATATCAGCTGGATTAAAAATACAATCATCTCATCTATCTCGCAAAATCTTTTTCTCATCCATCGCACATGCGCAGTAGGACTTCAAGAGAGTGAACCAACCTGTCGAACTCTAATGGCTGGCCTTTCTCCATCAAATGAAAGTCCCCAAGATAGATTTGAAGGCAGAGAGGGTCGAATGGAACTCCAGCATACCCTGTGGCACAGGCTATGCGGCCCCAGTTGGGGTCTCGCCCATATATTGCAGCCTATACAGACCCCACAGTATGCTTATGTCAAAAAATCTCGTAAGAATAGTAAGTAGAAAGCTTGCACGGATGGATTAATATGAGCGTGACATAACCGTTGCAATTGACTAATCAATCAAAGAGAGGAAAGATTCTTCCATATTGTAAATTAATTACTCAGAAGTGGAAACCAAGCAGTCAATGTCAGTTACTATCTCTTCTTGACAACTCGCAACACAATAAATTAAAATTAAGTGCACAGCCTGAGGATTTTAAGCTTTTACCATACTCCTACATCAGGTTCAATTTCAATTATATCTTTGATGTAGGAGTATGGCAACAGATTCAATTTCAATTATAATTTATTTTAGTATCAAGTTTAAAGCGTAATCGTGTCCATGGTTATGTCTCGGATAATCAATCACGCTGCAGTTTGTAAAAGAGCGTAACCCACTGTGTTATGAACTCACCTTCGTTAAGGAGGAGGCGGCAACAGAGCGAGCCACCGTTGCGGCTGCAGCTTCATCCGATGCGCCTGTTACAGTCACCTGCGTTTATGACCACGTTTACACTTGATATTACAAAAAATTGTCGTAGGTAGAATTAGTCGTAAAATATTAACAGCTACAATATATAAGATTAATTGGAGATAGGTTTCTGATGGACAAATGTGAAGAAAATTATCATCACCATAAAAACCGCTGACGAGAGTCGTCTGAATACCGAGGAAGCCTCACCTCGACTAAACACGTCGCCCCCTCACCGTCAGAGGCAATTGACTTAGCTAGACCTTGCAAGACCTGCATGAAGGGGAAGAACCGATCAGGGGCCTTGTATTTGTCCTATTAAATCTCTGAGGAAGAGCTAACACTACGAAGAGTGGACGACCAACTTTGAAGAGATGTTAAATACTGCTGAAAACCAGTTGCAAGCTATGACCAGCTCCATATGTCCATGGTAGACTCACTGCATCAAGAGCTGCCTGCAGCTGACGAGCTTCTTCACTGTTGATATCTGAGATCTTGGGACCTCCAGCTGCACCACTTGCCAAGGCTAGTAAGGTATCATTTGTGCTACTATCACCATCAACCTGAAATAACTCTCACCACTGTCAGATTACCTGAGAAAAATTGTTTCTACTCAGTTCACACTGAATGATCAAGTCATAGTAGCAGCAGACCAGAACATCTCATAAAAGCTAACAGAAAAACGGTAAGCCAACTGAAAGCCGGATCTATGCAGATCTAGGAAACTCCTCTGAAGGTCTTAATCATGTAAAAACATACGATGACTAAATGCCAAGCTAACCACGCAGCACCCACTAATTAGAGTCTGAACTACAACACAGCCCTTCATGACATAATTTTAAAGAACTATAGTACCGTAATCTGGTTGAAGCTTCTATTTACTGCTGTAATAACCATTGGCCTCCATACCTCCGCCGTAACATCTACATCACAAGTCACAACCTGCTCACAGCCACAGCATTAGTGATAGTAGTGAACATTAAAACGAGAGTAGTAAATGAGAAGTATTGGAAACAGGCTGATAACACTGTATACATTCATAGAGTTAAGTCGTTGTCGGATGTACTCCGAGCATGGTCGCCATGTTTGGATGAATCATGCCAGATCCTTTCGCTATGCCACCTAGTCTCACTGTTGTTCCCCCTATCTTCAAACAATAACGATACATTTAATTATGGTTCAGCCCAACCCCAAAGATCAGTGTCCATAAGTCACTCTGGAAGTTCTTTTATAATAGCAAACCCAACCTGAACGGTAGCTCAAAGACTAGCCAGGCAACTACTTACAGGTGCTTTTGTGATTCTCATCTGTCTAATAATTATAATGCCCTGCGACAATGACTAATCGCTACCACAATGAGGAATACTTGAAATGAAAAAATCACAACAGATATACCTTCGTTTCAATTGCAACACTCTTGCTGACAAGATCAGTAGTTGTGATGGCTACGGCTGCGGCATCAGCCCTGCAAAGAAATTCCCATCAATATCCACATAGGCCATACATACATACCCAAGTGATTCTAGCGTCTGAAGAAACCACCATGACACAAGCCCATGTCCATCTTTGAAGGCTTGAATTTTCAATTTGTCATCCTCCAGCAGCTTTCGACCTCAGCACCATTGTCAGATATCTCAAAGATAGAGAAATTATAGTTATCCTCAAACTGATTGAGAAGAAGTGGCACGTCACAAACTATATACAACCTTGTTTAGGAAAGCGTATCAAGAACAGAAAATATCAACAACCAACTTTTCTTTAGCCAATAATGACAAAAGGGATTCTTCTGAACTCACGATGCAACACTTGCAGATAAAGACCCCACCAACTTCGGCACGGCTTCAATTAAAGCATCCTGTGTAAGAGTCATACGAAAAGGTATCAGAAATTATAAACTAGAGCAGGAAGCTGCCAAACATAGATTACGGACAGGTGCAAAAGTTCAAGTTTGCTACCAAAAAGATGACAATTTCCAACAACTCTCTTAGCTTATGTCCCAACCAGGACAATTGCACACCTTCTTTATGCGGCGACCGATGACTCCAGTTGATTCGATGAGAACGGCTCCTTCTGGCACGCCGCAATGCTGCACGCGCCACATTGATAAGGGTAAGTGAGCATGCCTCAGGTTGGTTTTGAGGGTAGAATTTCTCCATCTATAAAACAATAACTTGTGACAATCTGGGTAAGTCTTCAATCAAGAAGTCGAACAATCCAGTAATACAGAATCAAGGCCATGACCGGTAGTATACTACAACTTTCGCCCTGAATGTGGACAAGAACTTACTTTAGCAACAGCAGCGACACATTCCAATGTATCCTGATAACCAGCATCTCCCTGCATTGCTTCTCCCATCCATAAAATATTAATCCATTCCCAAATATCCATTCAATGAAAACATCATGCACCTGGCTTTAGAGCCACAAGAGGTGTGCATCACATATATGCAAAAGCGTTCTCACACTTATATTGTACAGAATAGGACTAGTGAAACATGGGGTAAAAAGAAAACCAAACTTCTCACCGTTGCAGCATTGGCTTGGCCTGCATTGATCAAAATCGCTCGGGCCTGTGGTTCACAACAAATTTACATATGTACGCATTAATTGCGAAGGGGATGGGTTGTACATGGAAGAGTAGTAACAACAACAAACCTCTTGGATTACGAGATGAATGGTTGTACACTTACTGTGGATGAATCTGCCAAAGTTTTTTTGCAGTAGATTACAGGCGCTGCAGCCACCACGTTCTTCGTAAAAGTTCCTGGAAACGCACGTCTAAATAAGTAGAATTCTGCATCACTAATCTTCTAAGTACACACCGAAGTAGCTTACTTGGAAATAAATACACCTAATAGTCTATAATACGATAAACTCAACCCAACAGACGCACAAAGATCCACACAAAAGACTCACCAGCGGAGACAGCATCCGTGTCGCAAACGATCAAAGCCAGGTCAGGTTTTTTCCCAGCCGCTCGTAACTGCGCATACATACCAGCTGCTCGAAAACCCTTTGCAGCTGTTACTCCTCCAGGGATCTAAGCAATCCAACATGTTCACAAAGGTCAACCAGACCTCATCTATGTATGGACATCATGCGGAGAACTGAAGAGTGAGATGGTTACATTCCATTTTATTCTCTGCAACAGGGAACACCCAGTGCCAGCACTTGTGCAGAAGAGAATCATACCTGTTCCCACGGACCCTTCGATAGAACAATAGGTGATGCAGGGATAAATTTCCCGGGCGCCACTGCGTCTGCGTCTACGTTTACATCTGTGTCTGTTGTAGTGGATGCTCGAACTGCAAAAACATTGCCCTCCTGTACGAAAGAAGGTTTTCTTACACGAATGATCAGAACCAGGAAAAGTAGAGGGCGGAACGGAAAACGCAATGGATAAAGAAACGAAACATCTTCTCCCTGAAAGAAAATGAATTGGGCCTAACTATTCAAAAGGAGAAGCAATCCTATCCACAACAAACGTAATAGAAACCGAACATCCTCGGAGTAATTACCTTCAACCTCTTCAGTCCATGTCCAGGTTGGAGACTCTTCAAGGCATTAGGAAGAACTTGAAGCTGCGGGCATATTATCTGCGTCCTTCGAGGAACAACACTACAGCTGCTTCTGGGCAGCGAGTTCGCTTGAGCTGCGGATTGCTCAATTGCTACAGATTACCAAAAGGTTCCGTTACACCGCATTGCACAATCGTACAACATTATTGACATCTCAACTATAGGCTAAAATGCACTTCACCCTAGGCAAATGTTCGACACATATTGCCAACCCCCACATTCACACACAACTGCACAGTCTTCCAACACCTCTCCAGCTCATAACACACAAACGCAATCTATACCCAAACCACTGACTCTTTATGTTCGAAATCAAGCTCCAAGCATCGACAGTGATACATGATGCTCATTTCACTCGAGCGGGGACCACCACTAGTGATCCAAGCTCGGCCAAGCACACAAGACAAACCATACAGAGAAACCAAACCCGGAATTCAGTACTCCGAAAGGTTGAATTTTGAAGGGGACCCAATAAACTGTACACATACCCAGATACAGGGAATCGGTCCGAAGACACAGACGACACGAGGATACCATCGCCATGGCGGATCCGCTGCTCGATAACCTGCTTCCCCTGATGGCTCTGCAACACACCGACTGAAAGCCACTTCAAGGGTTTAGGGCTTTGGCGAAAGGTCCTGTTCACACTCGGCCTCCTCGACGAAGTTCCACTGGGTTGCGGTGCGAATGTGGGACACGGTAGGAATTCTATTATACCACAAGTTGCTCACAAGTTGCGCTTAAGTCTTGTTATAAAATACTTTTGAAGAGGCAAAATTGATGTTTACATATGATTGGAAGGTGGGCTTGATGAAAAAATAAATCATCTAGATTTGTATTTGAATTACATAAATTTAAATCAATGAGAGTTTTTGGAATGGATGATTTAACACATGTGTTTATTAGTTTTTGCTATTTGGTGAATTGCAATATCTTTAAGTGTTTTTTTTTTTTTTTTTTTTTTAATATGTGAGGTACACTCTCATCTCAAGTGAATATAAGCTACAAATTCTACATTAAATATCTTGCTGGATAGTTGATAAATATAACTTGTTGTTAGTAATTTGTAAACAAATAATACTACATAAATGATATATTACAATATAGCATACAAAACTTAGGAGAAAAAAAATTATAGAAGATTATATGGCATGAAAAAAATGTTTTAAGATATTTGATAAAATATTATTACTGCCTCTAATATATGAAGTATTAAATAGATTAAATAAACTTGTTTAAATAAAAAGAAATAACTTCAAATTATCTAATTCATGATAATATATAACATAAAATAAAATAAAATTTTAATTTGTTTCAACATGATTGAAAATTGTAAGCTAGTTAGATTTTTAAAATATAATCATAATTCATAAGATGTTACTAACTATGAAAAAAATAATAATCATGATCATTCAAAATTTTGTAGAAACTATTTTATTATAAAAATTATTTTAATATTTCAAAATAATTTTAGATTTTAGAAAACTAAAATAATAAAAATATTATTATATTATTAAAAAAGAATAATTTATTTTTAGTAAGACAATTAATTCTATGTAAAAAAAAACCATTGAGAAATAGTAGGAAAGACAAATTAAATTAAAACAAAATTCACTAGCCATTGCTTCAATCTATGTGAAGAAGAGATTGAAATTCATGAGGTACTACAAGGCTTAAGAAAAACATGAATAAGGTTTGGAGTGATTATTGTGGTACATTTATATTTAAGTAGAAAAAAGACTAAAAATGATTATTAAAATAAATAATAAATTCTCCACACAAGTTGATAAATTAACATTACATTACAAATTTTGTTACCAAATCTTATATAAGGTTTTTTGAAGTAAATATTTAATATCCTTAAAAGCATCAATAGACTTTAGAAAAATTCAACAAAATAGATTTGAAATTTTGAGATTAATTTTATATATAAATATGAGATTAAAACATATTTTTCTTGCATTATTGATTGTTTTAAAAATTTGGCTAGAATTTCATATTTTCTTATTATAACCATTACATAAATTAAATGTTAAATTTAATATATAAATAAATATACATGTATATATATATATATATTTATATATATATGTACATTGATAGAAATACATTATCTTTTAATTAAGTTTGTTTTAGAATTATATACATTATTACCAATAAATATATTATAAATAATTAATATTTTAACAATAAACATATCAATTGTTAATCAACTTTTTAGTTCTCAATATTTTATACTACTCTAAAAAATAAATTAACTCTTAAATATAAAATTTTAATTATAAAATTGATTTTCTCTTAAAAATATAAAAAAAACAAACAAATATAGTTAAAATTAAAATTGTGAGAAAATAAAGAGGAAGTATATTATTAAGATAGAAGTTCTATGAAGCAAATACAAAAGAGTTTTCTATCTTACTATCAAGAATTTAAGAGAACAAATGCTTAAAATGAACCTCTACTTTGACTCTTTATATAATACAAGTCTATGGTCTAACCATGTAGACTTTCTAGTGTAAACACATAAACAACTAGCTTACTCAACAATGTCGAATTAACATGTGGACACTTGTTTTGTTAGGGCATATGATGGTTTCATAGGCTAGTGCAGCTAAATGATATTACCATCAACAAATAGTAGCTACAACTTGTCAATCAACAAAGCAGTGCCAACAACCTATTCTACTTTATGTCTAATACGAGTTATACACTCTATTAACACTCCGACTTAATGACATATTAGGCTAATTCAATTTGATGATGCCTATCATCTCCTTAAATTTACAATATTTCTCACAAGTTAGACCTTTGATCAAAACATCCGCAACCATATCTTGAATCCCATAAAAAACTAAGTTGATGTTGTTATTGTCAATCTTCTCACAAACAAAGTGATGCTGAATTTCAACATATTTAGTACAAGCATGGAATGTAAGATTCCTTGAAAGAGAAATGCAACTTTGATTATCATTGAAAATACTCAAATAACCATCTTATGAAAATCCAATGTCTTTAAAAAAACCTTTGAAGGTAAATTGCCTCCTTTGTAGCATGAGTAGTTGCCATATACTTTACTTTGGTAGTAGATTATATGACTATTGGTTATTTCTTGCTATTCCAACTAATTGCACCACTAACCAATAAGAATGCATAACTAATGGTTGAACGCCATGTATCAATATCTCCTATATAGTCTACATGACAATAATCAACTACTTGCAAACTTAAAGATTATCATATTAAAGCACATGATCTGATGTGCATTGAAGATATCCCAAAATGTATTTCATTGCTATCCAATGTTGAGGGCCAAGATTTGTCATGTATTGCCTAATTACTCCCACTAAATATGAAATCTTGACTAGAGTGCCTATCATTGCATAAACTAAATTATCCATTGCATTTTGGTATAGAATTTCTTTCATTGCTTCAACTTCCTCATGAATCTAATGTTTCATGTCTCTTGACAATTTACTATTAGAATCCAAAGGTGTAGCTAAATTTTTACAATCGTTCATGCTAAACCTTTCAAGGATATTTTTCAAATATTTTTGCTAATTGATGTAGATTTTATAAATCTTTTGGTTCTTTATAATCTGCACACCCAAAATATAGTGGATTTCTTCCAAATCCTTCATTTCAAATCTCTCACCCAAGTTTTTCTTTATTTCTAAGAAAAGTTCCTTCTTATTAGACACAAGCATCAAGTCATCTACATAGAATGCAATGATGATGAAAAATCCATTCGTTGTCTATAACACATAAATGTTAGAATCAGCATGGTTTCTTTTCAAACTTTGTGAGGCAAAATAATCATCTATCTTTTTGTACCATGCTTTAGAAGATTATTTGAGTCCATAGAGAGTTTTAGAAAGTTTATATACCAATCATTCTTCACTCTCTAATATATAGCCTTTTAATTGATCCATATATATTTTCTCTTCAAGATTTTTATTCAAGAATATTGTCTTCACATCTATTTGATGAAATTCTAAATTTTAAATAGTAGCAAGTACAAGAAGTATATAAATTGAGGTCATTTTTGCCACTAGAGCAAAAGTTTCATTATAATCAATATCTTCTTTTTATACATAACCTTTTGCAATGAATCTTGTCTTGTAGAGCTCCATTGAACCATTTCCATTATATTTGATCTTGAAAAACTATTTGCAACGAATTTATTTTTTATTTTTTAATAATAGTATCAAAGACCAAGTTCTATTGTTAATGAGACTCCGATACTCTGAATCCATTGCTTTTTTTTACTTCCAAGTATTATCCCTTTTTATAGCCTTAGTAATAGTAGGTGGTTCTTTATTGCTCTTGTGAAAAGCATGTGCCATATATGCTAAAGATATGAATGACTTGGAAGGAATCCAAGCGAATATTGATTCATTAGTTACTTGTTGTGCCAAAAATCAAGCTCTTGCATATGTCATTACAGGTTAAGGTGGAGGTGGAGGTAGGATTGGAGGTGGGATTAGAGGTGGATTTAAAGCTGTATGTTGTTGTCCAAGTGCTCGGGCTTATATTTGAATATCTCAAATAGAAGATGAAGATTTAATAGTTGGTTGTTGGTGACCTTTACTAATGTCCAAATCTCCCATTGTATCTTCAATGTCACTTTTTAAATGTAATGAAGATTCCATAGGCTCAATTTTAATCCTTATTTCTTGATATTTATCAATAGAAACCTCCAAAGTCCCTTTTATTTTCTTAGAATCTTCACACTCAACAAACTTAACATGAAAATTCTTAATTATGGAGCTATTTTTAACATCATACAAATAATAGCACTTAGTATCTTCAACATAGCCTAGAAATATACATTTTGTACTTTTGGAGTCAAATTTTATGTGTTTTTCATCTAGAACATATGCATGGATATTACATCCAAAGATATGAAAGTATTGTATTAAAGATTTTATACTTGATTATGTATTTTTCCTTCCACAATTATAGTAGGAGCTCAATTAAGGACATATGTTGTAATATTAAGGGTTTCTATCCACCATGCATTTGAAAGTTGTTTATGTTATAACAGACACCTCACATTTTCAAATAATGTGTGATTCTTGTTTATAAAACTATTTGAAGGCCTTGGATGTATACTGTCTACCGTTCTTACTACGTAATTTTTGAATCTCCAAGTCCATTTGTTTCTCAACTAGAGCCTTAAAAATCCTAAAGTTATCCAAGACTTCAAACTTTTGTTTTATAAAATATACAAAAGTTTTTCATAAAAAATCATCAATAAACGTAACAAAATATTTTTCTCTTCCATGACATGTTCTCCTCATAGGACCATTTACGTCAAAATGTATCAATTCAAAGAGTTTTGTTGTATAAATACCACCTTATATTGGAAAAGCACCACAATGTTCTTTTCTATAAACTCATTCTTTACAAAATTCTAACTTTTTGTCTTTGCCAAATGAGTGTCCATATCACCTACTTGTAGTTTCTTGAAGCCCAAAATGCCAAGATGACTATTTTATTGATTCTAGAGAGTAGCCTTGTTCAAAGTCTGTTTTGTCTCAATAAAAAGAAAAATCTTTTTATTTTTGGCTAAAGACCGCAATAGCTTGTACAAGCTACTATGTCAAATACCTTTGGTGGTTGTATTGTCTCATTTCATGAAATATAT